TGTTCCTGAGGAAACAAAACTTACACACCCACAAGAAGCAGCTGTGAGAGCACACTTAATACAGACTCAGTTCCAGACTCAGCTAATAGGATAAGAACTCTAATGACTAGAAAGACAAAGAAGTTGATGAGTGGATGTGGGGACTCTGAGGAGGTGGCATTGAAAGATGGGTAGGGAGGTCTGGGTGTTAAGACTGAGTATATAGGGTGGGGCCAGATCCCTGGGACCTTAATGCATGTGGGGAAGTTAGTTCGATACAGAAAGCAAATCAGGTTTTTTTGGTTTTTGTTTTCAAGATGAGGAGAGACTTATTCAGGACTGTCTTTTAGAAAATGATTCTGGAAGCATAGGGACTCTAGTTGGGAAGTCTTTGCAGGAATCCAATGTAAAAGGAAATGAAGTCTTGTCTTTTCATTTATTTCTATTTATTATTATTTTTTTGACTCAGGAGCTTGCTCTGTTGTCCAGGCCGAAGTTCAATATCATGAATATAGTTCACTGTAGCCTCAGCCTCCTGGGCTCAAGAGATCCTCCTGCTTTAATCTCCTTTACAGATGGAACCACAGGTGCATGCCACCATGCCCGGCTAATTTTTTATTTTTATTTTTTTGTAGATATATGTCTTGCTGTGTTGCCCAGGTTTTTCCTGAACTTCTGGATTCAAGAGGTCTACCTCAGCCTCCCAAAGTGCTGGGAATACAGGCCTGAGCCACTGTGCCCAGTCATTGTGTTATTTTTAAATGATAGACACTATTTTCTTTGGAGGGGTGGGAAAAGACTTCTTGTGAGTCAGGTATTAAATACTTAAATGCATTATTGCTTTTAATCACTACAGCTGTTTGAAGTAGGTACTATTAGAGTTGAGGAAATGAAGGCTCAGAGAGGGTAAGTGCTTTGCTCAGGGTCATATATCAGTAAGCAGTGAATTAGGAATTTTAATACTCCAGAGTGCTACCTTTACTAAGGTAGTAGGCTTATTGGATTTATTTCTATGGGTTGGGCTCCTAGGGAGCAAGAGGGGTCTAATCTCTAAGCTGATTCCTGGCTACTCTGCTGGGCCCCTTGTTCTTGGGCCCGTTGCCAATTAGGGGCTAACTGCTGCTGTCTGAGCAGTCCCCATACCTCATTTGTTTGTAAAACATGTACTGTTTCCATTCCAAAGGCAAAAAAATCTAGGCAGGAGACATTCCAAGTTTGGGGATAAAACTAAGCTCCCAGCACTCCCTGCTCCCCTAGGCTTCCAGAGCTAAATGACCACTGCGGCACTTAGAAAGAGACAAAGACACCCTTCCCCTTGTCCCCCTAGAGACAGGCTTGGGCACATGCACACATGTATCCTCCACTGAGTGTCCAGAGCCCACACGCCACCTTGTTCCTTCTTATATTAACAGACCTGCATTGCGAGCTGTCACAGAGCTTTGTTACAGAGTTCCTGATAATTTATGTGAATAAATATAATTCTATATGTACATTCCAGTTACGATTTCATTGAGTTTCAAGATAATTATTTGAGGCACCCAGGAATCTTGATTCCCATTTTGCTGTGAAGAAAACAGGCAAAACTTGTTCATAGTCACACAACTGCTTAGATCCAGGACTAACTGCAGTGCTAATTGTTATTGCCTTGGAGTGGCAACAACAGTGTTTAATTGTATACTTATTTGCTCATTTCTGCACCCAACAATAATTATTGATCTCCATCTCTACCAGACCTTATTGGAACTATGAAAGGGGGGTCAATCTCGATTCTACTTTAAAGGAGCTCGCTATTATAAAGGACAGACATATCATAGTATTGGCATTTCTCAAGAGGCTGCTTTCAGAGAGGACAATATTTCAGTGAAGAAGTGAATTCTTAATGGTGTAACTTTATGCAGTTGAGTCATGGAAGAGTACATTAAAGGAGGGTACTGTATTCAGCAAGGGAAGGAGATGGGGGCAGGAAATGGTGCCTCTGATTTGTCTGTACCTATGCATATAGTGCCATCTGGTGTTCACTTTCGGGGGTTCAACTCCCTTTCTCTTCTGGGACAAAGTAGGCAGATTACAATTTGTGGGAAGTTTGCAGCCTAACATTTCTTTCTCTTACCTCCTTGCTTGTTCCATGATATCTTTTGAGGGCTCCGCCACTGATAGCTCTGGAGAGTTTTTTTTTTACAGATTGAGTTCTGTTTGTTTTATCTGTTTCACCTACTTAATTAACTCAGTGGTCAGTGTTCTCTATGGGTCCTTCTTGTTCTGTAGTCTATCCTTTCTTTTCTGTATCTCAAGTCTAAGCTATCTAACTCACCTCTTCTTCACCATCCTTTCCCCCTCCTAATCTGGCCCCCTGGCAACCTGGTGGTTTTTGCTTAGGGAGGAAGACCAGATAGTAAAGTCCTTTCTCTCTTCCAAAGGGATTAGCAAACTCTCAGTCTTTGTTCTGGGTCTAGCCCAAGTCTCTCTTTCCCTGACTACTTTCAGGCAGAGCTGATTACCTGATCTTTTGGGCTCATCCAACATTTTATATATATATCTCTTTTTATTATAGAATTTGTCACATTGTTACAGTTATCTGTTTACTTGTCTTTGTTGGAGTAAATAATGAGCTCTTCAGTGGCAGGGACAGCTTTCTGATTTATTGCCATATATTTAGGGCATAGCACAGGGCTTGGCACTTAGTACGCCCTCAAAAGAACTTGGTGAATGAATGAGTGGATTAACATAGATAGCCATGTGGAAGAAAGAATTGAGGAAGGGAGAAGGCTTGATGGAAGGTTTTGTCAGTGAACTGAGGGAATGTACATGACGCTGCAAGGGTAGACTTAGATTAGAACTCATGCCCTTGTGATCTTACCCACTAAGGAAGATACTTAGGAAAGGAACTCAGGGCCTGGGGGGCAGCAGTGGACTCTCCTGAGCCCTGCCCAGCCCCTTTGGCATGAATTTAATTTGTTTTGTGCTTCTGGGAATAGAAGCTTAGGAGTCCAAGAGGTCTAGCTCGATAGTTCCTTCCTCATCTTCCTAATCCACCCCTCTGCTACTAGCCCCAGTTATTTCTCAGCCATTAGGGTTTCCTTGGATCTTTTTGTCTAGCTTGCAGGTTATTCTACATTTATTGAACTTTCTAGAGAGCACTATATTAGGGGAATAATTGTGGCAAAGTCACACAGATTGGAATTCTAGCCTCAGTCCTTCCTGTAAGTTGCTTTCCCTCTCTAAGGGTCCCTATATGCTTGTCCTAGGCTGATTATGATACTAATATATCATTATCTGCTGAGAGGACAAATGGGAAATACCTTGTAAACTGGTACTTGTTATGATTTTAGTATGAGACAGTTTAGAGGAGGGATTCAGATGCCTGAGAACCTGGTTTCACAGCCTTGATTACTGTCAACAAAATAAAATCATGGCCAATGTCTGAATTAGGTAATGACTGTGGTTTCTATTGGCCCTGAGCTAGCTCAGAGCCAGACAGTCAGCAGAGCAGGGAGAGTAGATGCTGAGAGTTACAGCTCTCATTTTCCTCTTTGATGCCATGACTCATGGCATGTTGGCTGGCATCTGCTTGCCTGGCCTCCTTCAGCTCCCTACATCACCCCCTAGGCTGCACAAGGCCCAGGAGGAGCACCGCACAGTGGAAGTGGAGAAGGTCCATCTGGAGAAGAAGCTGCGCGATGAGATCAACCTTGCTAAGCAGGAAGCCCAGCGGCTGAAGGAGTTGCGGGAGGGTACTGAGAATGAGCGGAGCCGCCAAAAATATGCTGAGGAGGAGTTGGAGCAGGTAGGAGAGTCCACAAATTCCTGGACATCTTGAGGGGTGGGCAAAGGGCAGGGGCCCAGCATCTGGCTGGAAAGCTTCATGTGTGAGGACTTTGAAATATGGTCCAAAGACTATGTTCTAGAGTCACTGGACTCTTAACGAATAAGAATAGTAGAAAACTTGTAAAAAACAGTCACCATGGGCTGGGCACAGTGGCTCATGCCTGTAATCCCAGCACTTTGGGCGGCTGAGGTGGGCAGATCACAAGGTCAGGAGTTTGAGACCAGGCTGGCCAATATGGTGAAACCCCATCTCTACTAAAATTACAAAAATTAGCCGGGTGTGGTGGCAGGTGCCTGTAGTCCCAGCTACTCGGGAGACTGAGGCAGGAGAATCACTTGAACCCAGGAGGCTGAGGTTGCAGTAAGCCAAGATCACGTCACTGCACTCCAGCCTCGGTGACAGGGCAAGACTCCATCTCAAAAAAAAAAAAAAAAAAAAAAAAGAAATTGTTTCAAAAAAAAAAAAAAAAAAGAATTACAAAAATGTATAAAAATACTATAATTTATGTATCCACTCTTCTGTTGATAAATATTTGGGTCGTCTGCAGTTTTTTGACTCTTATGAATAATATTGCTATGAACCTTCCTGCATATGTCTCTTGGTGGGCATAAGCACTCCTTTCTGTTGGACATATAATAGTGTATTCGTGAATTTAGCTTTATTATAAACTGTCACATGGTTTTCCAAAATGATTGTATAAATCTATACTGCCACAACAATGTAAGAGAATTCTAGTTGATCCATGACCTCAGTATTTTTAGGCATTTTAATTTTAAACATTCTGGTAAATACATAGTAGTATCTTGTGATTTTAATTTTCGTTTCCCTAATATTGTTACACACCTTTTTATAAATTTATTGGCCATTTGATTTGGAAATCTATTCTCATTTTAAAAATTGAGTTGTCCTTTTCTTATTGATTTGTAAGCATTCTTTATATATTTTATTTATTT